ATTCTTTCCTGCATAAAAACACTTCATGCTGAGGTTAGAAATTCCAGTTTTTCAAATGTAACAGAGGCTGTGACCAATGGGACCAACACAAACACAGACTAGGCCAAACAACAGGATCAAAGGACATGTTTTCCATGTTTTTTCCAAAGTTAGTTCACTCAGTGGTAACTGTAACCACCAGAAAAAAACATGGGAAGATGGCAGTGGACAGATATAAAAGCAGTGATGAAGATTTCTACATGAACTTCCTGCCCATCTCTTACTCCTTCATCTACAAACATTTGGTTTCTGGGGACCCAGACCTCAGCAAGCTCGGTTTCATATTTGAGATATTCACGTGTCGCTCATCCTGAAACATTTGCTGTATAGCTGGGAATCAGAGAGAGTAGACTGAATGTTTGGAGCATGTGCACGTGTTCTTACTATGCAGTCCCAGTATGGGTGGTGAGAGAGGAGGTGGGTTGGGGAAGGTGAACTTTACGGTGTACTCTTTGGGTCTTTTCAGCAGCTCTGTGGCCTCCCGGCTCTCCTCCTCCTGACCTCCCTTCTTCTTGCCTTTTAGCTGCTTCCTGGTCAGGGCATCCTTAGTCTGTTTCTCCTGAAATAAAACAACGTAAGTGATGTCAGCAGGGACATTAGCCTGGATAAACGTGTCACCTGGAAATTAAGAAACATCTTGCTGAGTCTAGACCTTGCAGGCATATTACAGCAGCATCAACTGCAACAGAATGATCAGCTGATCATAGACTGACAGCCTAAACGGGTGGATTTTGTTTACATTTTAAATCCTTCTTCTCCTGGTTGAAAAGACAGTATTTTTGTAACTAGTTGATTTGGTGCTCAGGTGTACTTGAGTGAAGAGAAAGCCATACTCACAGCCTGTTTGGTAGACTTGCCACCAGCCTTCAGCTCTTTGAGTTTCTTCTCCTGTTTGTCGTACTGTTTCTGCAGTTCTTTCTGCTTCTGCACGTACATCTTCTTGAAGGTCACTTAAAAAAATGAGGAAGAACTGAGGTAAAGCTGCCCTAATGTCTTTAACTAAATCACATCGTTTCGCACAAACTTCTCTCTCTGCAAGTAATTAGTGAGTAGCGACGACACATTGTCACTTACAATAGTTCCCTCTGTAATAGTAAAGTTTCTGGTTGTCTAAGTGGACGATATCTGTACACACGTCGTCAAGGAAACTCTGGTCGTGGGAAACTATGAGGAGAGTCTTCTTCCAGCCTTGAAGGTAGCTGTAGGTGGGAAAGAACAGTCAATAACAACAAATGAGTCACATTACTAACACTGAAGCTACTGTCATAGCTGATGGAAGCTGCAGACTGTAGGAAAGAAAAATGTGGCTTTTTTCTTCTGTACAGCAATTTCAATAAATTAACAACAAATCATGGCAATGTTGTTTCATTCATTTTTCACACGAACCAAATTTAACCCTCTCAGGCTCAAATTAAACTTTTTGTTGCTAATGCACAACCAAGTCCTGCAGTGGTACTACTGAGTAAAATAAACTCATAAAATATGTATGTGGGGTAGGCATGCACCGATACCGATACTGGTATCGGGGCCGATACTGTAAAATGTGTGTACTCATACTCGGAAAAGTTAACCGATACCATGAACCGATACCAACTTATTTCATTAATCAGAGGGTGGCTTGTCATTTCTGTTGTAGTTTTTTAGATTGGCCACTAGGGGGACATCCCGCGCTAAACAGGCACAGGGTTAGGCGAGTGAGACTGGCAGCTCCAGATAAAAAAGAGAAACTGGAGGCT